AATGACATAGAGGAAAATGATGATAGTGTATTCAAAGCAGTAAAAATCCCCCTAATTATTATTCAGAATTATAATAAAAGAGAAGATGAATTGCTAAAATAAGAACTGCTTAAAGAGGACATTGTAAAAAATGAAACTGAAAATTTGGAAGTCAAATACAGTAACAATAAATTTAAAATGCAATGTAGTAACATCAGGAAAGACTTCAGCAAATTTAGAAATTTTTGCGAAAATAGAGTTCTACTCCTTTAAAGACCCATCTGTAAGTAAAACCAGTGCAATGTAACAATCATTCATCTTGCTGGCTACCGAAACACATCGTGGACTTGATAAAAGACAAACACAGGATTAGAAGACTAAGGCAGTGGTATAGAAGGTCATACTTAAAAAGGAAATGGATCGCCTTATGCAAAAAAGTAAAATTTCTAATCGACGAACACAGATATAGTTCATTTACGCAATTTTTAGCGCAAATTACCTCCGGCTCACCATCTCTATGGACTAATATCAAAAAGGTCACCGGAGAAAATCTAGAATACCACCATTAAAATCGGGCACTAGTATTCTCTATAAAGATGACGGAAAAGCGGAGGCGTTTGCTATTCACTTTTCAAATACATTTAAACCAAATCCAATAGTAAACCACATGTTCAATGAGGAAAATTTATGAAGCAACCTATAAACTCCGCAGATATACGAACAAAATTTATATCACCGGCAGAACTTAAACGCACAATAAACAAATTTAAAAACAGAAAACCAGCTGGGAATGACCTATTAACTTGTGAAATATTAAAAGAATTACCGAACTCCACAATTGCAGCAATAACAGCTATATTAAATGCAGCTTTAAGGCTAGGTTATTACCCAAGCAATTGGAAAAATGCTAAATAATTCCAATAAGCAAACCAAATAAATGTCCACAACTACTAGATACCTACAGGCCTATTACCTTCATTAGCTAAAGTGTATGATGGACTGATTTTAGCCCGACTAAATAAATTCTTATACTTTACGAACGCCATACCTGATGCGCAATTCGGCTTTAGAGCAAATCACTCGACTGAACACCAAATTTTAAGTTACGGATTTGATTGCAAAGGGTTTTCACGAGAAAAAGTACACGTCAGCTCTGTTTTTAGACATTACTAAAGCGTTCGACCGTGTCTGGCACACAGGACTGAAATACAAATTTTGCCATCTAGGCATCCCTAAATATCTTCAAGATATAATTGGAAGTTTCTTGTTAAACAGGTCATTTAATATTAAAATACATGACACCATGTCTGATAAATACAGGATCTCGGCCGGAGTTCCACAAGGTTCCTCACTCTCACCGACGTCATTCAAAATTTACCTTGCCGATTTTCCGGAATTAATGGATACCGAAATAGCCTTGTTCATAGATGACACTGCCATCCTCTCACAACATGAACTGGTTATTGCCGTGGAAAACCTACAAAATTATTTAAATGCCTTAATTAAATGGACTGATAAATGGAGAATCCAGATAAATCCAAATTAATAACAAGCTAAAATTTTCTCGCTTAAAAGATTCATAATCCCTCCAGTGTTAACAATCAGTAACAGTCCTGTTCTCTGGGTAAACAATAACCAACCCGTGAAATACTTGGGAGTTAAATTAGATAGAAGATTAAAATGGAAGGACCATATAATTGATATTGCTAACAAAACCTATGCAAAAATGGTCAAACTTTACGCACTAATAAATAAAAACTCTACATTAAGAATAGAGAACGGAGTAATAATCTTTAAATCAATAATTCACCCGTCGCTCACCTATGCGTGCTCAGTGTGGGGAGGCGCAGCTAACACGCATATTAATAAATTGGAAATAATTCAAAACAAATTTCTAAGAGTGGTCACCAAAGCTCTCTGGTTTATTACTAATGCACAAATCCAAAGAGAATTAAACATTAGCTGCATTAAAGAGTACATAAATAAACTATCGAAAAAAAATTATTTAAGGCTGGAAGCAAAAGAACTTCCAACCTTGGCCGTACAGATTATGCACCATCGAGGATATTGTCACGCTTTCCAAAAGCCACCATAAATTGCTGATACTAAGATTATAAACAATATATGGGATTGTAATAACAGTATTGTAGCGGTACAGAATTATTAAGATAAATTAAATTGAGTAAAGCAGACATAAGAAAGTTTTTTACTGAAAAAAACAACATACGGCGTCACGCGCGCAGCCCCCCTTCTTGCAACAGCACGATCTCCTGACCCATTTCGAATGTTTATGACACCCCACCCGACAACCGAAGGGGTAAATTGTAAAAGCGCCCAGCAGCAGCCCACATCTGGAATACTTCCGAAACGCCTGTCATCGTGATCGGGGAAACCCGAAGCAATAATTCAGTAGCCGGGAAGCCCCATCAGAGAAGTGACCTACTTTCGAAACAGAGAATGGAAAATTCCTATACTCCGCCGGAGCCCTATTGGCCAAATTTAGTGTACAACGCCTTCACATCACCTTTAGCCAATAGCGACGCGACCGTTGTAGGGAGCAAGAACATATTAGGAGAAAGGGTAGGGATAAAAGTTAACTTCGTGCATTTATGAGAAACAAAATTACAGTTGAGAGAGAGACTTCTCTGGAGTGGGAGCCAGTCGCGGGGAGAGGCAAGTGCGCCTCCGAAGGCACTTTGTTAAAATTACAGTTGGTAGAGAGACTTCTCTGGGGTGGGAGCCGAGCTCGGGGAAAGGCGAGTACACCTCTGAAGGCACTTGGTTAAAATTTCAGTTTAGTTGAAATCACTGGGGTGATAGACCGGAATTCTCAGTGAGAATTTTAGAGGAAGTGCAAAAGCACTTCAAAAGTAAATTGTCGAATCCTTTGTCACTGCGTATTCGCTGCAGGATTTCGCAATTACTGAAATTTTTATTCGAGAGGAATCGCATACGCAGAGGGAGACATTGTTGTGTGCTCCGCACCTGCGATCGGAGGCGATATTGCCAGTTACCTACAAGTTTCGCCGAAGCAGCCTTCAGACGACCCATCTGCTGACGTCACGGACGGCCGCCAGACGCCACTGACCGCCGCAGCCGCCGTTGGTGAGGGCATGCGCCCCGAACGAATTCCTGCGAAGGTCGCCTACCGCGCCACCCGGGCCTACAGAACATCTGCCACGGAGGGTTTTCAGGCAATGTAACTGGGGGCAATAAACCTTTTGAAGTATTGTCAAAACGGTGCCGCGCTAAGGCACAAGAAAGGTCCTCAGGAACAACGCTGTAAATCCTAGCTATAAAATAATTTTGTACTCTTCTCTAGTTGTAAGCCTTCCTTCAATTTTAATCCCTGTTTCTTTTCTTTTTATTCAATTTTTCCTTTCTTTTATTTTATTAATGTATCTTCCCTGGTACAGTTTGTCCAGGAATAAACGTTGTCTTTTACCAGTAATCAAATTGTTTATTTTGAATGCCAATGCATGCTTTAGCTTACAATGCCTTCCATCACTGAATCTTAAGTTAAGGAAATTGTTACAATTGGGTAGTTTTTACACGAGTAAAGAGAATAGGACCGACTGAGCTATAACCGGGCCGCTAACCGCGCATTTCCCTTCGCCGGGAGTTGTTACAGTATATATGTGTTTTTCACAAGTGTGGTATTTTTTCTCAAGGCATATTTTTGTATATCTTTGTATAATAGTATATTTTTGTATATTGTTGAATTAGTAGGTATATTTTGTATATTTTTCTATAAAGGTAAACAGAAACTGTATGTAGATTGAAAAATAAGTAAGTATACTTGAGCCCTAATGTAAATGGAAGATACTGTTAAGCGCCTTATATAATGTATGTATCGTAATAATAACTCCCGAAATGCCGAAGGGACGAACGGGCAAGAAATAAATTTTTAAAAAAAGTTTCTACTCCAAAAATACACGACAAACGTCGTTTGCACACGACACGGCAATGTTGCCAAACCGATTTTTCAGAGCCCCGGCTTGAGACCGCGGCCTCACCATTGAATCATCGTTTTATCAATCTGATTCGCGCCGCGGATCAAGCTACGGATTCAAAGCCACGGTTTCAAAACCGCTGTTCAGTCCACGTCTTAGAAATCCATCCATTGTGTGGAAGAAATCAGAACGAGTTGGACTTCGCCTGGGAACGGATTGGAGTTCGTTTTGTTGCAACGGGTGTTTTATCGGAAGGAAAGTACAAGAATTTGATAATCTTTGTGGGAAAATCAAACTATGTTTATTAACTGCGTGCTGTGAATGTGTACACTGAGAACAAACGATGACGAATGTTTACTTAGTCCGTATGAAGGTAAGGCAGGAAAGAGTGCAGTTATTTAAGTTAGTTATGATACTTTTTTGTTGAATGTTGTTATGTTATTCCTTTAATAATCGTTTTAAACTCGTTAACCGGTATGGGTGAGCATTATCGTCCCGCTGATACGTATACATTTTCTTCAATTCGCGGAAATCGAAATTAAATGGACTCTTGAGATCGGTAGAAGAGAGAGTATAATAAATTAGTTGGGCGAATCGCAATTAAATGCCGTTGACTATTCTTAATAATATAGGATTGTATTTGTTATAACACATAGAAAGGGGGATTTTGTACTTCTCAAAAGTGGACAATTGTTTTGAAACAATTCAAAAATACTAAAAAATGATAGTTTTAATATAATAATAATAATAATAATAATAATAATAATAATAATAATAATAATAATAATAATAATAATGAAGAATTATTATAAGGCGCGCTAGTAGCGCGTTATATGTGTCAAGGCCAACTTATCGGCGAGTTTGGCGCGTCTCGTGTTCGACTGCATTTCCAAAGCTCTTGAGCCATCCGTCACGGGATCCCAGGATGGGCCTCTATGAAATGGAGAGAGGAAGCGCGCTTGCGCGTACGAGTACTTTCACGCAGCCAGAGGGCAGCACAGTGTGCCAACCGGTTCTGTAACGGGGAGTCAGCGTATCGGCGCTTCGCGGAAAGCAGTCGCTGAGGGAAAGTCACCTTGCACGCGTCCTGCCAACATGCTGCTCTCGTTGGCGTGGCTTGCGCTGGGCACCCTTTTGGTACTGCCTTTCTACCTGCTGCTCTGGTCGCGGCGGGCTCGCCTCACGAGGAAGCTGCCCGGCCCCACCCCGCTGCCCTTCTTGGGCAGCGCCCTCGAGCTTGGGCGAGGGCCTGTCGGTAAGGTTGCGCGTTGCGGGCACCTGTCAAAGAGACTCACTGCTGCTCTCCGTGTCACATTTACCCTTGACAATTTACCCTCTTGGATTTTACCTCTTCGAATTTAGTACGTCTCCGTATCCGCTGGGGGAGTTAAGCTCGGAAGCAGCATTGCCCCTGACCCTTCAGGGGCTCTGACAGGGAGGTCTTTTGATTCGAGTTCCGGCGGTGGTGACTTTTTGATAGATTCCTAGGTCGAATTCTACCGCTGTCTCGAAAATAGCTCTAGCGGCTGTCTGCTCTGATGGGGAGTTTTCCATGTTTTTTCCGAACAATACTAGGCGAATGCTGGTGCAGTACATTAACAACGGGTCACGAACGGCGCATTATCTTTCCTTCCTATTCTCTCCGCTTACTCTCTCTCTCTCTCTCACACACACACACACACACTTAAATTTACACTTATATTCCCTTCGCGGCCACATATATCGGGAGACCAGTCGGGATCTTGTCTAGTGCGAGGCGGTGAGGAGGTACCTGGAAGGGGAAGACCCGGCATGCCGACGTGTCTTGCAGGTTGGTGCAACGGGGGAACTGCATCGCTCCAGGCATAAAAAGTCACTACACTTACGGGACTAATGACCGTACCAGTTGAAGTGAAGCCTCAGTCAATCAATCACAGACGCCCTGGTTATTCATTTCGAAGAACGGCGTCACCTGTTTCAGGTAGTATGTTTGTACCAGTTGCTCGTCAAGTACATAATAATGTATTAGGTCTGTTGATTAACAACAGCTTGAACATGTGAATGGAGCATTTAAACAATTATTTGTAAGTAGTTAAACAGATGGTTTCTGGTTAAATGGGCTGGTTACTCTAGAAAAACAATGTTTAAAACGTTCGTTATAAAATTTAATCTCTCGTAAGATTTTTCATAAATTGGCAATACCTAAAATAGATTTTGATGACTTTGGCTCCCGTACTTTTCTTTCTTTCTGCATTAAATGTAGGACTCATTGTTAACATTGAAAGTGAATTATCGTCAAATAGTTTGTGGTTGTGTGAGATACAAAATTTGAGGTTAGATTGGTTTTAAAGTGTATCTGAAGAGAAACTGTTCTGAGTGTTCTCATTGGATATGTTTGTGGTAAGTAAGTTCGGTTCACTTGCACTGGGGGACAAATTATTATCTTCGTGGCGAAAGTAATGATTTGCTTTCATTTAGTCTTATTCGCCAAGAATTTAACCGTAGTTTGTTGACATCTTCCTGAAGCAATCTTTCAGCCTCTGGATTACTGTCTGAAGCTAGCATTGATGTACCGTAAGCAAATTTAATTATTACTTTTTCTTGGGATTAGACGAGTCAAAAGTGTATTATATTACAGCACTGGACCCAGCGCCTTTCCTGGGAGAAGCCAGACAGGATAAATGGAAGGTAGTTCATTATTACGCTAAATTTGGAAGAATCTATTACTTAGGATTTTAGTAGAACAAAATAAGGGTATTGAAGGTACAATAATGTACAATAACCCTACTTGCCGTTCTTTGTGCTTTGTGATATAATGCTTGCATTATATCTAGGAATGCAGCTGGGCAATATTTATTTTCTTCCAGACTTTTACTAATGATGTTCACCACCATGTGCACTTGTTCAGCTGTAGAATGCTTTCTTCGGAATCCAGAGTGATGTTAGGGAATCCAGTCTTCTGATTTTGGACGCAGTTTTAGCAGGGTCACTTTTCCAAAAGCTTTAGAGACGAGAGGTAGCAAGCTAATAGGTTGGTAGGAGGCGGGTTCTTGAAGACGATTTCCAGATTTGAGGATTAGAATAATCTGAGCATACTTCCAGGATTGTGGGAAATATCCTAGGCGCAATATTGCGTTAAACATTGAAATTATGAAGGATATTGCACGTTTTATATTATTCTGCAAGTAATTAAATCAAAACCAGGTGTTTTGTTAGGATGAAAAGTTCTGAAGATTTTCTTTATATCTTTCGAAGTAAATGGGGCCAATAGAGGAGACAACTGAAGAGATGCGTAAAAATGTTTTATATTCTTTTTTGTCAATATCACTCTGATCACTTCTGGAAAAGGTTGAAACACGTTAGTTTACATACAGAGCAAAACATTCAGCTTTCTCAAGATTCGTCTTTACCCAGATCCGAGCGTATCTGATGGGTGGAACATGCTGTTTTGGTCTTTTAGTCTTGTAATCTTCCAAAGCTAGTGATCATTGTTTGCTTGTGGAGACGTATTATTGTATTACTTTTGAGATATTACTTTTGTTACGAGAGAGTGATATTCTTTTAATAATACTTTTCGTTTCTGTGTTACATTATTCTGCCTATTTTTGTTTTTTTCTGTTTTTTTTTTTTTTTTGCAAAATTTTACGAATACATACAAAAATATGTTTCTTCAATATTTTGTACCCGATATTTGAATGTTTATTAGATACAATAGTCCGTTACACATCGGTGCTTGCATATAGACAGTTCTCGACGGGTGCTCTTTGATTTCAAAACTATTTTATGCATCGTTATTGCTGCAATATCTCGATCATTGAATGACATAAAATGTAATATATTCTTTCTTACAAACATATGAAAGTCTTTTATCTGGGAGTTGTATAAGTGTACAGTCTAAGAACGAGCCACTACTGTTAAGTATAGGTTGTGATGGTCTTTCTTCGGCCAATTTTTGTAGAAAGTAAGGAGTGAATGCGAAGGAAAGCTGACGGAATAGAAAATTGGCGTTACAATACTGTTATTGAAAATTTCAGTTGATTCAGACGATGAAATAAAATTTATGATAGTACAATTTTACGGTATGTACAAATTTACGAGGAATGTTGCGAGAGTACCTCGAAATCAATCTGCTATTATAGTAATGTGGTATGTTAAAACAAGGTCATGACAACGTCACGTATTCGTGATCATGGACCTCATCAAACGAGTCCATCAAATTGGTGCTTTCGAATGATAAAGATAGACTCAAAATTTAAAACAAATATTATGCCTAGCTAACTTTACGTGAACGGCTTGTGGACGTTAATTGCTTGAAAAATTACATTATTACTTTATCCCGTATATTATTTTATTTCTTTGTTACTTCATATTCTTCGGAATTAACGAGATTGAGATTTCACGTAAATGATAGGGTAAATAATGAATATCTGAACATTGTGATTTCAAATACTTCAAATACCCCGTAATTCATCAAACAATGCGTATTTTTACTGTTTCACATTCACGATTGTCGTAGTTAAAATGTACTTACACAAACATATTGAAATTAAAATTCGTATTACACAGACACTAAAGAGATGTTTTATCTTTTTGATAATACAAGAAGAAAGCGTTGCTAACATTCCAGTGCAGTGTTCTCCAAACACTCTTCTACTGAGGGGCGGCAAGAATGTTTTAAAGTCTCGAGGGCCAAAAATGAAACTTCATGGGAGGATAGTAATTATCCCTTCATGATATGAATGTAATTTGTTAAATTAAATTGTAATTAAAGAAAGACACAAAAGTTCACAATTTATCAATTAGTTCTTACTCACATAAGGACTTATGCGCACACAATTCTAACAAAATATTTGTAATAATTAATACACATTGAGGGTTGCAAAATATTGCAAATTTTGAAATATATCAAAATGTAATTTCAGTCACTCTTTTTGAAAACACAAAAATGATAAATACTTTGAAAACGTACCTCAATCAGAGAAATATTATTGTCTTTTTGACTACAACAATAAGATCATTTGTGGTTTAATTTTTTTCTTCTCTTATTAATATATCTCACGAATGTTAATGTCACAATTGTACGATACTTTCTTAAGTCACAATGGTACAACATAACTGATATGAGGAACAAATAGTGTGTAACAATGGGAAATCAGAATCTTATATCAAGCCGCACGCTAACACACAATAGTACAAAAAATCTACATTTAAATAAAATAGATGAATGGGCAATAAAATGGAAAATAAAACGAAACCATAATAAATCAAAAGCAAACATATTTTCTTTAAGACCGTTCTCTGCTCCCCACCCGATACTAATAAACAATAACCAAATAAACTGGACACCATCAAATCAACGAATCAAATTCCTAGGACTAAATCTTGACACAAGACTGAACTGGAAAAACTTCATAAACTTAAAATACAACAGGCCAAAATCAGATTAATTCAACTCAAACCAAAACTAAATAGAAACTTCAAACTTTCATTAACAAATGCAATAACACTCCATAAAACTATCATAAGACCCATAATGCTATACGTATGTCCCATCTGGACAAATGCCGCTCCATCCAAAGTAAACAAAATACAAGTAGTCTAGAACAGATTCCTCACAATAGTCACTAACGCCCGTGGTTTATTTCAAATTAACAACTCCATAGAGAATTAAACATGAACTCGCTTACTTCACTTACCAAATAGCTCACTTATCCAACAACTTCTACTCCAACATAAACTCAATAGATCAACTAAAACAATATAAGTTAGCCTCAACGTACAACACACAAACCAGAATAAAAAACAGGTACCCGTTCGATTCCTTCCTAAAAATTTTCTCAAGGAATTGTGAATAGTGAGCTCTTTAATGAGGAATCTATCCCATTGTAGTAGCAATACTAGAACTAGGTTAAGCATAGTTTTTAATTTAGTAGAAAGTCAACAATACATATGAAAGAGTGTAAACTGATCTACGTATATCCATACAAGAAATAAATGAAAAAGAAAATACATTGCAATCAAATATTGTAGCCTGGGTCACGAGTAAATTGAATTAGAATATATTTTTTATTGGCGGGTCACATGAATACTTCCGAGGGCCGGATGTGGCTCGCGGACCGTTGTTTGGAGACCCCTTCTGTATTCACTGGTCGCGCGATTCAGAGTAATGTTGCTTGTCGTGCGAAGCTCTAATTGTAGACACAAGACAGTTGTTATACTCGCTATCAAACTTTAATAGTTTAAGTTAAACGTTAATAGTTTAAGTAATAATAAAAATAGCTTTTGTAATTGAAAAAAACTTGCGTTTTTGATGAATATGGCACGTACATTTCTGACAAGAGTTGCAAATATTTCTGGTAATTTTGTTTCTTTCCAAATCACAATTGTAACGCAAACTACTTTCTGCCTCTGGCAGCGTAGTTTAATTCTTCCGGTACCCAAAACCTGTGAAACCTTGTTTTTCTGCGGATGCATATGGTGATGGATGCATATGGTGATATATACTCTCTGGATTTGTGGTTTGGAAGAGATTATACGAACGCATACTAAATTTACATAATAATTGACCAATGACTAACGATAAAACACTCTTATATTGCAGTATGAAATGGCTTTTAACCTTAGATAACCCTCTTGACGGGTGTGGTCGCGTTGAGCCCAATAGTGTGGCACAAATACAGCATGTACTATAAATATTTGAGGATAAATTATAAATATTATTGATTATAAATATTTGAGGCACAGTCTCACTCCAGACGTCGAGCCGAGCGGACGTGTTTGCTACCTTGCGTTTGCAGCGGAACAAGTCATGGGCAAATTCGGAAAAATGCATTCTGGGTTTAGCTGAGCAGCTAGGTGTCAGGCTGGAGCTTCACGGCATCGAGCGCGCGCACCGGACGGGGCGGCGGCGTGAGGGACAGCCGCGCATGATTGTGGCCAAGCTAGCCTCATTCAGGAAGCGGGAGGAGCTGCTGCGTGCAGCCCGGGAGCATCTCTCCCAGAGTAGCATGG